TAGCCTACTGCATCATTGCATAAAAATAAACAAATAAATGAGTACAACCTACATTCTTTATCCATTATATTTAATGATAACCATTATCACATCCATAAACATATGGTGTTCTTTTTTTAGTTCAGTTTTTAAAGTCCTTGAAACTATTAACGCAGCTAATTAAAATTGGTGAAATAGCATTTTAAGCAATGAAATAAAATCCATTTGTTCATACAAAATGAGTAAAAAATAGTATTAAATGGTAGACCTATGTCCGTACACTCACCTTGACCGTTCCACTTCAAACCACAGGTTGCTTGCATTAAAGCAGGCCGTGAGGATAAGCGGCAGAAATTAGGTTCTTCTGCTGCTGGGCGTCTGGTTGTATGGTCTTAGGTAAGGAGCTCATTCAACTCGGAGTAAATAAGTCAGTTGAGATGCTTCGGCTACCTGTATAGGATACCTTGTGGACGCCTCCCAATCTCTGGTCAAGTTTTTCAGGCTTGGGACACAAACAGAGACACGCTGCTGGATAGAGTATGTACGTTTGTATTTATATATATTTATATACACGCTCCCTGGTTTGTAAAACCATTCGGGGATAATACCACCAGGGAAAGCCGAAGACAGGAAGGTCTTGGCACCCTTGCTTACCCTCCTGAATAACGGATAGAAAACTGATGAATGAATGGATAAAGCAGTACTCGCCAAATTTCAATATTGCTCGTCCAGGATCAGAGTCCATCCTGTCAAACACAGGTCATCTTGCCTCTTGTGGAAGTCAAACAGGTGGTCAGCATAAACGGATCACTTTTTTTTCTCTCTTACAGATTCTCTGTATGACTAAAGTCCGAAAGACAACACTGTTTGGTGGCATCCAGGAAGCAGGCGTGGTGAGTGCACCTAAACTACAAAAAGAACATACAGTCGATGGTGCTGTCTGGGAAACTCCTCCTCCTCTCTGTTTGCACCACTGCTTTCTTTCCACAAGAGGTCAGCAGAGATGAGGGTTAAGAATGGCAGCAATCATTTGGAAAAAGAGTCTGTGGGGCTTTGAAAAGTTTCAAGGGGCGTCGTCGAACTGACAAGTCTCAAAGTATACAAGGCATGGGATGCGACTCCAAGTGTTTTTGTGCGGAATCTGCCATTTGACGAATAAATAATTTCCCGATCGGTATTTCACTCATTGCTGGTTGTTTTGGCTCCAGGTGGACAGCTGGTGAGATGCAAACAGATAAAATAGGTGAAAAGAGAATAACCCAACAGTTGCAAAAGCGTGGAAACATTGCTGAACTTTCGTTTGCTTATATTTACAAAAGTGTTCTTTTTTTAAAAAAGACTAACACAATTCTAAGAAGTCTGTAACAGAATTAAACTGATAAATATGAAGACATTATATCATAGAGCCTGTAGAGTTTTGTTAATGGAAAATTATGTTAATGGATGAGCATCTGGAGTTTAATGTTGGCTCTCAGTTTC